GGGGGGGGTAATGAAATCCGTCGAGTGAGCCTAGCCCCGACATGGGGGAAGGGTAAGTTGGGAGGAGCAGGAGGATCGGACCATGGCTGCAGGCAGGGGGGGTGTTGATGGTCTGAATGACTTGGGTAAGAGAGAAGATTGTGAGTGAGATTGTGAGAAGTGATGATTTCATCTGGCCAAGTGAAGAACCGACCACCAAAATCATCGTGAGTAGTGGCAGTAGCAAGAGCAGCAGCAGCAGAAGGATGTCAGGCTCGCTCAGATTACTGTTTTCCGGATTATTCGCGCTGGGAATTTCTCCATTGGCACGACTTGAGCCTCTTCTGCCGAGACAGGCTTAGCGCAGGCGAGGCAGCTGGAATCCACATTCTGTTTTGAGATGAGTACTCTGACTGTTAATTGGCTGCTAGAATAACCCCAGGGCCAATGAAGACGAGGGCACGGGGCGGCCACATGGCAGCATCACCGCCAGTGGAAGTGCTTGGGCCATCCGTCCAAATGAAACACGCCAGATTCCCTCCCTCCTGAGTTAGTAGCCCGAGCAGAATGCAGTATGGAGTAACTAATTACTTAGTGTACTGCTGACTCTGCCGGTGATGAACTGACGGCCGGTGTGGGAATTTCCTGATTGATCCTCGCTCGCTCCATCCCGCCTAGATTCGGTCTGGTTCCGTTCCCTCTACTTACTTGCTGGCTTGTTCCGTTTCAAGTCCTCTGTCTGTGGTAGTCGAGGACTGGCATCTCCCCTCTTTCATGGTGATCCCTCCACTTTTTCCCTTCCAGTGGGCGGGACGGGATTCACAAGCCTCCGAGGAGTAAGAGGCCCTCCTCATCCTCAGGTCTAAGCCGCAACAATCTGGAGTTCATCGCCAATCCACACTGCCTTCGAATCGACGGAACCAGAAACTCAAACGCCCTTCCTCATCAGAAGAAGCAATGTCATCCTCCCTCTCCCTCCTATCCATCCCTCCCTCTTCCATCCCCAAAATAAAGATAATAAAAAGTAAATACTATCATCTCTACGCCCCAAACCCAGAATCATGCCACAGCCCTTCTAGCCCCCGAGATGGTGGTGGCGGTCAGGGTCTGTCAGAGGAATGCTTTCCCTCTTTTTCCCACCCCCATTCCCTCACTCACCAAGGCTCGGGCGCAGCGGGAACACAGATACAGAAGTGAACGAGCAAACGAACAACATAGATTGGTAAGTTAGTAGAGTAACCCCGGGGGTTGTCTAGAGTCCAGATAGTCTGGACAGGGTCTGCGGAATCCTCACCCAAACTCTGGCGGGATACAAGTGTGGTTCCGAAGCGCTCTACCTTTCCGATTTCCATTCTTGATATTGGTGGAGAGCGCTTCCCCATACCAAGCCAGCGGCGTCTGCTTGTTCTATGGTTCCTCCCCTATTTAGACTTGGGCCGGAGGAACTTACACACACAGACACTGTGTCTTTTTTGGCTGGGCTTAGATCACATTGTTGGTTCACCATTGGGCTGTGCTTTCGATTTAAAAAATGAAAATAGAAATAAAAGCAAATGACACACGGTTGGACAGACAGCCTGTCACTTGCTGCGGAGTTGGTCCGTCTATCATCATACAGATCGGCTGCAAGTACCTTCCACTAAGAGCTGTACTTTTCTTGGATCAAAGGCGGCCGGCCGGTCAGGCTTTCTTCGTCATGGGGACCACTCTGGGAGATGGAAATCACCAGTGGGCAATAAGATCTGTAGGCAACATCACTGTGGCCTGGTCTAGTACCTACATCTCCGCCCTCCTCTTTGGTACCTACGTAGCCCGTCCCCTTCTTTTGGTTTCTTTTTCCTCTCGCTACCTCTGCCTGACTGACGGACAGATCATCCCCGCGGGACTGCAATAAGCCTAATCAGACCCGCTCGAACTGTGTCAGCCGCCGTCTTTCTTTCTTTTCCTCTGTTCACGTTGGCTGACGTACCGGTAAGGATGCTAATCGGAGAACCATCGAATAAGGTGATCGATGGACCACAGATCCTACCACATTGGGCCATCCAGGATGATCGTTATAGTAGTGACTAAAGCTAAGTCGTCCGCCCGTGCTGGGATCGCTGCCACGATTATAAACGGAACGACACTTGACTTGCTCGGGTCTAAACTTCGACAAATAGCCATGCCGCTGATGATGCGGATTGCAATGCCAGGGTCATCCTCCCTCTCCATCGGAAACACCAAGAAATGACCAGGGTCTGTGAGTTTTGACGGGCAGTTGTCACTAGCAGTTAGTTAGTCGTCTGCCATAAGCGATGCATCGCTGATTGGGCAGCCCGTAAATTCTATCCCCCTTATTCATACCAATTAGGGGGGCGTTGTTGCTTTTTCCTGGCTCGTCATCCCATCTCACCCCCCATTATCTTCTCTTCTCCTCTTCTGCATTTATCAAAGTACTTGGCTACTTAACTTAGCCTCTCGTGGAGATGTCAACTTTCGTCAAAGTGTGCCCCCGACGCCAAGACAGGTAAAGTACTGAGCAACTTAACTAGTCGTCGCTTGCACTTGACACATATACACACCGAATGGTTTGCCTTGCAGGGCGATCTGAGCGCACCGTTCATGGTGCCTGAAAAGGTGACCCAACAACCCCTCCTTTCTCCCCGTTCGCTCTCTGGAGGGGGTGACCGGCCGTAAAAAATAACAGATTACCTAAAGTACTCTTCACAGCCAGGTCACAACCTTAATGTGCGCTAGGGTGGAGGCACCGGTCGCTAGTAGATTCCCTGTGGCCCTCTGATGGCTGTTGGGACTTGGGGGATAATTTCCCCTTGCTAGGGTGGTGGGTATTCGATAACTGCGGCGGGTCACCACCCTGTCGCGGTTACCTTGATCTGAATAGGCACCGCAGAAGACCCATGATTCAAGCGCGCTGGGCTCCGTAGATAGTCACAGTTTCATCATGTTCCAAGGATCGTTAATGAGCCAATGTGTAGTGACTATGGGACCGTCTGCGGAGGATGCGATCTTTCACAAGCTCGCTCGCTCCTATCCATACCTTACGGGCGCACACTTACTTACACTTAGGACGTCATCAGCAGGACTCTCTGGATCTGGCCATGACAGCCGACCAAAGCGCAGACGAAATCCCAATCTGCAGGATTCATTTCGGTGATTGGCCGCGCAGGGGACTGTGCCCAGGGGTTGCTAGTCAGCCATCCTGCTCTTTTGCCGAGCAAGACCCTGTGTAACGGTGCAGACAAGCCATGCAGCATGCGACCCGCGGGACAAGGGGGGGTAGACAATAAGTACAACCTTCAGAAAACCTGCAGAGAGATACCTTCTTCGGTTCATCAGTTGGCATCGAGGCGATGACAAACCCAAGTCACCGGCCAAGACCCCAAGACCCCGACTCAACCTTTGCCCTGCTGGAAGGCGTCCATCATCCTTAGTCTTGGGTTCTGGTGCTGCTCGGTAGGTTTAGTCTAGTCCCCGCCGAACTAAAGTTTGGGATCGAGGCTGTAAAGCAACAGCCCTCACCCTCTACTACTTGGATACTGTGTAAATGACATGTTGTAATGGACAGTTCGGGGCGCATTTTCAACCCAGGATTGCCAACGTAATGACTGGCAGGACCTTCCATGGGGCATGGAAGATGAGCCTCGCGAGAGGATCCTAGTAGCTTAGGCCTTCTCTTCGTAGAAAATCTGACCTTCCATTGCATCAAGTGGGGCGACTGGAGTTACAGGAGAGACCGGGCGGTCGATTATGATAGACGCGCGATCCACCGCGAGGATGAAGGCGCAGTGGACGGACGTGGCATGGCGCCTTACCTCAGCCGATATGTGAGTACGTAGTGGGTTAGATATCTGTAACGCGGACAGATCGTCTGCTTCTAAACGCACTCCATGCACAGGCGAAGTCTTCTGTATGACAGACCTAGTCCACATGCACAGTCTGGATAAGACGATACGGAGGTAACACGGTTTCAGCCTCGACGGACGGAAGCCAATGTGATCTTGCAAGTGTCGGTTCCCAATCGGCCGGATGAAACAGCGTCAGCTGTCATACCTCATGGCCAGGCAGACTCTCGGTGATTCCTGCCATTCTATTCCTTTCTTTTCTTTCATCAGACGGGAACTCTAGCAGGGCTGGACTGCAAGCGATTGATGATTAGTCGTGGTTTAGTCTAGTGGTAGTAAGTAAGTGATCTGGCCCGTTACGGAACGGTCGAGCGGAATAGATAAAAAAGAAAATAGAGAATAGGGAAAATAATAAATAAATAAATAAAATAATTCCGTTTAAAGAATAATCAACGATCAGAAAAGAGACAACAAAGAACGGCGGCGATACCGGTCTGAAGGGTAAAGTTAAACTAGAATAAAGCTAAAGGGAAATCTCCACGACCAGCATTGTTAGCGTGTTGATTGGAGCCAGGATTCGAGAAGGCGCTGCTGGATAAAGCTGGTCAGAAGCCAGAAGAACTCCGTTATTTAGTTCGCCCACGCTTGGACATTCACAGTTTAGTGGGGAGGGACCAACAATCTGGTCCGACCACACAACCACCGTCATCCACCGGACCCATCGAAACTCTGAAGATGACCCAAAGGACTAAAAGCAGAGCCAGGGTTGACGGTGCCAAACCATCCGGGGCTGCGGGCCGGGTCCACGGTCACGGGGAGGCTGAGACTGTAAAGAAAAAAAGAGTGGGAAAAGGTCTGAGGCCGAAACCTTGTTGGGGGAGGAGCAGCAAAGAATCCACCAGTCAATTTCTCTTGATAGTCGGTCTTCTCTCGGGTCGGTCTCAACTAAGCTAAAATCTAGTCTAGAGCCCGCCTGACAGCGGAAAAAGGGCTCGACCTGCATCAGCCATGGAGGGATGAGAATGGAAGGGGGGTGAGGGAAGGGGGCTGGATGGTTGCATGCATCGTTGCACAAAGCCTCATTGCCACGTTTTCGTCCCGGAGATCGCGACAAAGTTCCCAAGATCCCGAAGAAATCGAGCATATGCCATGTGATGATGGAGGAGGGGGGGGGGGGGGAGTGTAGGGATGATGCACTTACATCCCTGTCGGAGGGAGAAGCGAAGGGGATGAGATTTGTTGTTTGTAGATTATTTCTTAGCTAGTGAGTACACTACTCGTAGATTAATACCAAGAGCGGACTGGGAAGGAGCAGCTGGACCCTTCTCGGCCGTCAAAATTAAATTTGAAGCGATCTTCAGGAAGGCGTCCATGGTTCGTTGGGACGATGCTCCCAAGTTCAACTAGCTCTCCAGCAAGATAGAGATGGACAGATAGAATTAGATAATAGATCGCGACCGACTGCCGCACCAGACTAGGAGTAAACATCCGTCAGTACACAGTATACTCCATACCTCCTCCGTACTCGGTGTACTGTGTAAGTACCTCGAAGAGTAGTCGCTTGATACTGATTGATTGGATCCATCAGTCTAAAGTACCCTTGATCACGGGGTCAACGAGGTTACTCAAGACTAGCCCAGGTAGCGGTAGCACAGCCAGTTAGACCCAGTCAGGCAACTGTCGGTCGGAGCAAGCCGATCCCAGATCCCGACCAGCCAATGACGCAGACATAACCATTCTCCGCATCAGTTTGGATGGCGACCAGAACAGGGAAGTAGTGGGCCAGTCACAGACAGGCGCTGGGCTCGGCAGATCCGCCGTCTTCTTTTTCTTCTCACTTCTCAGTCAGTTTTCAATCTCGCCAGATACAACCGCATCTGGTTAGTGCGGGAGGAGTCCAGAGGTGTTTCCCACTAACCCGGAATAGGGATCTGCCAACTCTAAGACAAAAAATACAAATCGAATAATACACATCTGATTAAAAAAGCAAGAAAGAAAAAGATGGGATGATGTTCACTCACCATCATCCATCAACATAAGCAGAAAAAGGAATTCAAGGCGACCAACCTACTAACTACTACTACTACCCACCTAACTAACTGCTACTAAATAACTGCCACAACCCAAAACTAGCCCCCAACTTCACACGCGGCCCAGGATCAACCATGTCAGAACCCAATAACTCGTCCAGTTTCCCTCGTGGCCAGCCTGAAGGATCGATCACCCACCAGTAATGATTTTATTATTCTTCTCTCGCTCGGTATCACCATCAATTCCAGCCCCAGGATCCAGCCCGTCGGGCGCGCCTATGGAAGTTAATCAAATGGGTACACAGGGGGAAAAACAAAAACAAAAACAAAAACAAAAAGTTGGCCACACAGCCTCATTGACCTTGGTTTACTAAGTCGAAGACTAAGTCTAGTATGGATATGACTGGGAAACCCCATCCAATTCCACGATGAATTAGCCGACAGACCACACCCAGTACGGAGGACACAGTTATCTACCGTAGTAAACAGTGAGAGTGAGAGAGAGTGAGAAAGAGAGAGATAGAAGTCTCGGCGCAATGGCCAATCTCCGAAAGAGAAAATAAAAAACCTGCTCAACTAAAATACCACCACCACCAGCAGTAAGTAAGTAGTTTTTTAGCGGCCGAAACATTTTCGCCTTCGCCGAAGATACCCTGATTGGGTAGGAGTCATACTTGAGTCAATTACTGACTACCTTACTGACTCCTACTAACTCTAGGATTGCGTACGTACATGGATGAGAAATGAATGATTACCTGTGTCTTATCAATCATACCTAGACTAGATAGATACTTGATTAGTCTACTACGACTACAGCGATGATTCAATACTCTACAGAGAGGCAAATCCATCAATTCTAGAGTAAGCCGCCATACCGCCATCCATGATGCCATCTCACTACCTCACTACTTACTAATCACTAGTACTATCCTACCTAGTGCCTAGTCACCAAACTAACAAAATATCCCCCTGCTCACCACCTGCATGGAACCTTCCACAGAAGAAGAAGAAGAATCCCCAAGCAAACACACCTACCGCCCTTCCTTACTCCGTACATAGTGCTTACTTCTTACTGTAAGTACTCAGAGAGAATAAGTAATCGCTTAGAATGGATTATCAATCAATACTCTCCCCCAACTATTAAACAAGGATTAATCTGTCATGTCGTACACATCCATCCATCCATTTATCCTATAGACCCTATCGGAGATGCCGATATGCGTTTCTTTCATGATTACTATCTTGATGACGATGATGATGATGGTGGTGGTGGTGGCCTTACCCAAACCCTACCTGTACTTCCTATAAGTGAGAGAGAGTGTGCTGTGCTATGCTGTGCTGTGCTAGAAATGACCTGTCCCAAACCGACTGGGATACTAATTAGTTAGTAGTATGTATGCTGCAACGCTAGAACCTCCAGGGCACCCCTGCTGCTTGCTGGCTTGCCCGGGATTGCAGGGATTAAAAGGAAAGAAAAAAATAATTGACCAGGGTTGATTGTTGTGTGTGTGTTCGGATCCGAAGGGTCGGAGATAGCTTTTGACTACTCCGTAGTATTTTATCACTAGTGAGTATGGCTAGTGATTTAGTACTACGTAGGTGATTAAAGGGGAAGTGGGATTGGGTAGTAGGGGTATAGACTGGATGAAGAATAGTGTATGTATAACTTCATACATACTACTATTTTGTGCTCCATGGTACTTAGGTTCAGTTACTTACTATTCTTTGTGCAAGACACTGTCATGTGGATCGGATCAGAACTGAACTTGCAGTTGGCTGGCTGGTTGATGCATCACTTTGTCAATGGCATCTGTTTGTCGATCATGATGTCAAAACTCAAATTCATATACATCATTCGTATAGAATATATAGACTATATCCCCCCCCCCCTCCCTTCCATCGTAATTTGCAGATAAAAGAAACTTCACATCATCATCAGGGTTAAAAAAGAGAACGCCAACGGTTGCGAAGCAAACAGCAGGTGTCGGCCGACTATCCCCTGCGTGCATCATAAGGCTATCTAATATACTAATCTACTGGTCTATCTAATAACATAAAGAAAAAAAAAGAAGAATAAAAAAAAGGTACAGGATCGATAGGCATGTCTCATTGTTCATTTCCCCCCTTGCCATTTTCTTCTTCCTGGTTATATAGTCCCGAGCTATACTATCCCAGGGTTTCATGTCCATCCGCTTTTTGCTCTTTTCGGTTTGTCCCTTTTTTTATTTTGATTGCCCACGGTCCAGCCAGCCCATTAGCCCTCTCTCTATGCAGACCCCGACACGGCGATCCACGCACAGTCGATTGAAACAGATTCCAAACACGCCACATCAAGGCTTAATCATCAGACGGTGTGCATACTCCCTCCGCCCGGAGAAAGGTCCATGATTCCGGAGAAGCCAACCACTGAGCCAGGTGCCGGCGTGGGAGAAGGAAAAGGAAATGCAATTTTATGCGCCTTTCGCCATGAAATTTTGCGTTCAAACGAAACATTAACATGACAAACATATAGATCTAAATCTGGTATACAGAACGAAGCTTCTGAGCAACATGGGCCGGAAGTTGCGACAGGAATGAATCGAAGTTGGGTATCATATTTTTATATCCCTGCAACACCTGCATCATCATTGAGTCAGTTACACAGATTGAAAAGTATGGGGGAAAAGGCTACAAACCTGCTGGAACGAGGTCTGAATGTCACGGTAGTCCTCCTGGTTCATCGATTTGGTGGGGAAGGCAGCGATGGCCTGGAAGTAGTCCCCAAGGCAAGACTCCATGGCTGCGGGGTTCTTCATCACCACCTGGTTGAATCCAAGGAAAGCGGAAGCCTTCTCACGGGTGAACTCGATCTTATTCATTGACTTTAGGAAGACTCCAGCGAATTCGTTCAGACGAGCTGCAAGTTGATCAGAGCAGCAGATACCAAGCCGGCCCAGGGCCATCGCGGCATTCTCGTTCACTGAGTCGATGATCTCCTCGTTGTTAATGATGATGAAGAGCCCCTGGTACAGCTTCTCCATATACGGAGACAGCGCGGCTTTCTCGTTAACGGCGATCTCTCCGCACGACCAGCAGGCATTGTTGAGAACGCTGAATCCAGTGTGACGATCATCATCCCGGATCTGATCCAGATCCAGTTGCTTGATCAGAGTGGGCATAATGTTAGGAATGAAAGATTCGAGTTGAGGGAAGATGTTGATCGCACAGTCACCCAGCAGAGCATACGACGACTGACGGACTTCATAGTTCGGATCTTCCATACAGAAGCAAAGCAGGTCAAAGAACCGGGGCTGGGAGTTGGCGACCAACTCGCCGCTCTTCTGCGGATCAATCGCCTGGATGATCGCGCTCAGAAGGTCCAGACTCGTCACCAGGAAGTCCTTGTCAGGCTCATCAATGGCCTGGTTGTTAACGGACGCCATGTACTCCTGCAGGTTCTCATAGATGATCTTGATGCACCGCTGGAAGAGGGGAGTGGCGAAGGGAGAAAAGGCGTCGCCATAGGCTGCCGCAATATATCCGAGACACTCCAGGAGCGGGAACAGCTCCCGAGACTGATCCGAGACCTTGTTGTAGCGATCAATGAGAGCAGGCATCAGGATATCAACTAGTTGAGGCTTCGCCAGCTCTCCCATGACGCACTCGGCCAAAGTCTGAACACAGTCATACAAGATGTACATGTTGCGGTCCTTGTACCTTCCGAAGCACTGCACAAACTGTCGAAGGATGGGCTCGCAGTAGGGGATCAAGTTCGCGTCCGACTTCTCCTCCAAGCTTGCAAAGGCAGAAGCAGCCGCCTCTTGAACCTTCTTGTTGCCGTCCAGCATCCTGCGCAGAATACCCTCCATCATGGGCTCAAAGAAGCGCGCTCTCTCCGACGGGTCGCCCAAGTGCGACGCCCATTCGGAGTACCGGCCGAGGCACCAGCAGGTGATCTGTCGCACAACAGGTTGAGCGTCGTTGAGCAGGGAGATGAGATAGGGAACGAGCTCGGGGAGATGAGGCGTGACGGCATCCATACAACCATCTGCAACAGCACCAAGAGTCAAGACAGCAGCTTCGCGATGAGGCCACTGCTCGTGACGGAGGGTCTCCTTCAGGTAGGGCAGAATGATTTCGAAGATCGGGTCGTGATAGACGTTCGAGAAGACATCCAACGCGGCGGCGGAGCACTTTCGGAGCGTCCATTCGTCCTCGGGGTCATCTCCGAATTCGGAATCCTCGATCTCGCCTTCGCTCAGATCGTCATCGTCTTCCTCTTCGGGAGCTGCGTTTCCGTTCGCTTGACCAGACTTGGACATATCCAGTTTGCCGCTCTTGGACTTGGCGAACTGCGGCTTGAGGTCTTCCTGGCGGTCTTCGTCCTCGGCATCGTCTCCTTCGCCCGTCAACCGAATGGCTTCATCCTCGTCATAAACCATGCTCTGGAGCAAGACCGGGACGATCTTGGGCATGTGGGGAGCCAAGGGCTGCTGGAGTTTGATCTGCTCGCCCGCGACAAGCCAGAACTCAGCGGCGTCAAGCGCAAGCTCCGGGTCCTCCTGGTTGTGTTGTTGCATGATGATGTAGTTGACCAATCCTTCCATGTGGGGGATGAGCTTCTCGGGGGAGAAGTCCACCAGCTGCGCGAAAGTCTGACAAACTGTGCGACGAACATCGGTACTCGAATCATTGGCGAGCTGGAACAATTGCGACAAAAACAGATCCATTGAAGCAATGAGGGCCTTGGGTCTGTGCGGGAGGAAGACATGGATGGTGCCGAGGGCCATTGAGCGGACCTTGGAGCTCTGGTTGGAGGTAAATTCGAGCAACTTGGGAATGATGACGTCGAGAGGGCATTGTCCTTGGTAGTCCCGGTCGAGGATCTTGCGATTGTCTTCGCACACCTTGGAGAGAGCCGACATGGCAGCCTCCTGGGCCATGGGCGGGATGTCACCGGAGCTATTTTCGACGAGGGTCAGCAGCTCCTGCAGCACATCAGGCCAGGCTAATAGCCCCGCCTGTTGCACCAATTCTGTGATGATTGTTCCGGCCGACTTCCGCACGTGAGGGTTCTCGTCGCGCAATCCGAGCAGGGTGGCCGATCGGATATAGGTCAAGCAGGGTTGGGGGATCGTATTGTAGGCAACGTGAATTTTGGTCTTCAGGTTCATCGCAGCCGCGAAACGGACCATATCGTAGGTTTGGCTATCCATTCCCAGCACCGGAGAAGCCTGCGGGGTGCTGAAGAGGTAGGTGATGTAGTTGACATAGTCCGGCGACGAGGTTGCTTGTACTAGCATCTATCAGAAGACAGAAGACGGAGAAGAGCTTCGGTCAGCCAAATTTTTACTTTTCGAAGCGAAAGATAGGTCCTAGAACAAAGCTAAACAGAAGAGGGGGTAGAGCCGGCGCTCTTGCAGCGACCGCGAAGCTCCCAGAATCATCATTCTGTTGAGGTGGTCGAGGGGAGGGGAATCATAAAAAAAACTCAAAGTAGGGAAATAAAGCGGAGCAAGAGAGGGGAGAAAAGCGACAGCAAGGACACACCTGTTCGGCCTGTTTTTGGAGGGGGCGATCATAAGGATTAAGGGAATCCTTGAGGCAGCAAGCCAGCTGCCTCAATGGATCGTCCTGCGGTTGCCATTCCATGATGTCGCAAAGGTGGAAGGCAGAGGAGGGAGGGGGGAGCAATTGCGGGTAGAAGGACGAGGGAGAGGAAGAGACAGAGGCAGAGAGAGGGAGAGACCGAGAGTGGAAGGGGACGTTGTGTAGCCCAAAGAAACCCCGCCGTGAACTTGTGGGAAGCGGCTCCAGCCCCTTCTTCCCCGGAAAGGCTAAGAGAGAAAAAAAAAATTTGGAAGACAAGGAAAGTAAGTAAAATAAATTATATAAAAAAGATATTATCTGATAGAATTAATAAAGGATTTTGTTTTAAAAAAAAAAAAAAAAAAAAAAAAAGGAAAAAGGAAAAAGAAAAAGAACAATCCGATGTTCACAATAGAAGAAGCGCAATTCAAGCGCACAAAATATTCCCAAGTGGACCAAAGTAGTCGCAATGGAGGCAGAAGGCTGTCCGGTGACGACAAGAGAAAATTCCCCTGGCTGGCGGAGAGAGACTGACTGAGAGAGACTGAGAGAGAGAGGGAGGGAGAGGGAGAGAGAGGCAGAGGCAGAGGCAGAGAGGCAAAGGAGAACAATCCTACGTACTTAGCAACCACCACCACCAAAATGCTACCAAAGTTCTGAGTGGTTGTGGCACTAAGTAGTGGTCCTCCTGGCACTGGTTCTTTACATGGAAGAGGCCGTGCACCCGGAGATACTTCCTTGGGTTGTAGCAGTACTTCCAAGCACCTTACTTACGTAGAGAAAAAATTTGGCTGGCTGGTTAATAAAGAAAGGAAAAAGGATTCAGGCTATATGTATTTGCAGGAAAGATGAAGTCATCTAGTATTCTATCCCAGTACCTCTGTACCCAGCCAGAGGGATGAAGTCTAGCTGATAATCCAGTTGGGACGATGCGATGGGCAGGAATACATCCATGGAAGAAGGAATGTACATGTTCATGTTCATCACTGGTATCGTCACTGGGTGACACCCTCTATCTTTCAGAGGTCTGGTGGCCGCGGTAACCAGCGAAACGGTAATAAACATGCCACCGCCAGGCAGAGGAAGGCAACCAACTGCCCGGTATGGTAATCAGCGACTATGACTGATACACTTTGTTTCCCCCAGTTACCTTCTGATACATACCTCTTTTACCTTCGGACACAGCCCAGCGAGGGGCAGCAGACATATCCCAATAAACAGAAGAAAATACAATAGTATTCATATTTGATACAAACCTGAAGATTCCCTACTATAAACATCCGATTTTTAGTACCTATCTCCATGCTAACCCTATAATGCATCTAGTCCCCCCAAGGTGTATCTATCTCCCTCATACCAAGGATACCTACCTCCCTAATACTTTCCATGCATGGATGCTAGTGAGTGTCCAAATCGGTAACTTATCATTTTCCCCCCACCCACACTCACACCCACATCCCCCCCCCCCTAGTCTTCCAGTTCCAGCAGTACGTATGTATCATGAGACCCGGTCGGCGGAGGCCATCACGATGCCAGAAATGACCTGTCAGAGAGAGAACTCCGATCCCATCGTGCACACCTCCCACGAGGGATCCCTTCAGAGCTAGCTTACGTACGTATCTCAGAAAATAGTTCCGTCCGCCCTGATCGCGTGCATAGAGTGGAGCGGTGATTTATTTAACCCTGAAAGTTGATTAGTATGGAGGAGTAGGTAGTTGGTGATACTGATGTATGTATTCCAACAATGAATGGATTTATCATTTCCAACTTTCCGAAAGTTATGAACATCATTAATACTATGCTCTTGTGGAGAACGTCACCTGATTTATTAAAGAAATGACCGAAACCTTTACCACCCCCCAGTCTACGCCCACACCAGTTTCTTAATGTCGTAGACCAAATGCTCCAAATATCCTGTCCGCTTCTTTGCCTCTTCGACCGATATAATGTCTGACGACTCGATAATGGAACTCTGTGTTCCGTCATCATCATGTCGTGTCTTGCCTGCTCTCATGGCCCGCTCGATCTCCTCGCAGATACTGCGCACCCAATCCGGCTGTCTCACTGTCGCCCCCGTCGAGTTCTGCGGAAGCGCCTTGAACGCGATGAGTCGGGTGGTCGAGCGGGGGCTCCCCTTGAACCACGCATACATGTTCCATTCGGTGCTGGGGCGCGCATTGCTGTCGAGGGTTTGCGAGGTAACCTGGCTCTGGAGGGAGCGGGTGTTGACCCGCAGCGCGTTCTCATCGCCAGCAAGATACTCAATCACTAACCCCACGTTGTTCTGCTCGTCGGCCTGGGCCTCGGTCAAGACCGACGTGATGTAGGTGCCATAGTTGATCCGGGTCACGGAATGCAGGTCTATGCGTTCATACGATAGCACCTTGTCGACGTTCCAGTCGAAGCGACAGCTGTAAATAGCTGCGTCTGTGAGTAGAAGCACCGCTTCCTCGAACGGCATGGTCCTCAAAGTATTCGGCTGCCGGGGGGTTAACATAGTCCATCCACCCAGGAACTCTTCGGACTGGTCGCTAATAACAATCTTGCAACTGGTGTCGATCGCATTCTGCCGGAGCTTCTGAACTGAGATTCCTGGGTCCGTAGTCTGCATCTCTACCGCAAATTCCTGGAAGGCCTGGGTAGAAACATTGCCCAACAGATAGTCAATGCACGCCTGCGAGAAGTAGTCGTTGACAATGTTGTTGTAATAACGGGAGAGTGTCAGACCAAAGTCATTTAGTGCTCCTCGATAATTCCGTTTCCGGGTCCTAGTGTAGTCACCCTTCAGGGCAGCTGTCGAGGAGTATTGCTTCGAGATAGCATCTCCGTTATCTGCCCATATAGTATTGAACCACCGAGTAGATGAATCACGGCCAAGATCAATGTTGATGCCCTCGCGCTTCAATTCACGCTCTAGAGCCCATTGGCCAAAGGCGCATTGCGCGACCCCAGTGCGGTCTAGACAGTCCATGCAATTCGTGCGCACAATACCCTTTTGCGACTGGAGGACAGTGTCGTTGCGGATAACAGTATCACCAAACTCGCTCAAAGTATCCTCCAGTTGCTTCACCAGGCGGCTCACATTCTCGAATTTCATACCGCGACACTCGTGGTGGAAGTCAAACCACTCCAGTGCAAGCGGCACACCATCTATACCACCTGACTCATTCAAAGCCTTTGCAAACTTCTCATATTGCTCTCCGAGCTTTAACTCTCCGGCTTGCTTGTCGATAAGAGAGACTCCCTGGATCTTCCCGTATCTCCGACTTAGATTCCTGAAGTGTCGGTCAAAGGCGAGTTGGTTCGTTTCGGTAGAGTGGTGCAGTACAGGGACGGGCTTGAAAGCGTATGGCGACTGCGAAAAGTACAGTGGGATTGATCCACGGATTTGAAGGTACGAGTAAGCATTATGGGACGGATCCCAATCCGGGACGGAGAGAATCTGTTCTGTCTCCACAAAGTTGGCAGTATTCCCAAAGTCATCAACACCGCGACGTAGGTATCGTAGACCTGGGCGCTTAACAGATCGCCGCGAGATCAGGGTAAGTAGATAATCACGCTTCTTCTCGCTGGTTTGAACAGCTTCTGCCTCTTGTTTGTCACCCAGTATGCGTCCTTCCTTGAGCTCCTCGTCCGGCTTTTCCGTGTCTGAGGATGCAGCCTCAACGGTGAACTCTCGCTGGCCAACAAAACCTTGCATCAACGGAAGGACATAGTTGTGGGCATCAGCTGCGATAAAGGGAGACATCAGATGCCGGTTCCAAAAGTACTGAAGACGAGAATTAGCACGTGCATACTGTCCGTCACAAAGGAAAGGCTAATACCAGTTCATCAACGATCTTGTGCGACGGCAGATGAGTTTTGAGAGACGACTCTTCCTGCGTCCCGAACTGTCTGGTGAGATCGTAATCATATGCAAAGAAGAAATTCTGGGAAGAAAAGATCATCTTGGTATAACGTAGCAACTTCGGAAGCAACTCCACGGTTGGATCGGAGGGAAACGGCTCTCCAAGTGTTTTAGGCGTTGCATCATGACTTTCTGAAACGGGGCTTGAACGTTCATCATTCACCTCAGAGGAGATGGTCTCCGGCTCCCCCTTGTCATCTTCCACGAGCGGCTCTGCAGAATTATGACCTACAGTACCAAGGCCGGGCAAACCAAGAGTTTTCCTTGAGAGCCAATTTGCAGCAAAGCGTCCGAATCGTACTCTCTTCCCAATCACATCTTCAGCGATGCTGCCGACACTGCGAGCCCGGGAATGAGTGACTTCCTGCTCCGGGGAAGCTGGCACCGTGCCAACTTCAGTGTCGCCGCCTTCAGTCTCGGTGTCCGATATCGTGCTACTGTCATCCGAGGCAGTCTCGCCCGGCCCACCTTCTCCATGAGACAGGCTCTCCTTTGCCTGAGAGATCGCGCGAATCGCCTCGGCTTGCGACGAGGTCGGGATTACCGCGACATCAGTCACAGAATAAATGGGCTTGCCCTGTATCTGAGCCACTTGTTGCCGCTGAGTGATAGAGATAAGGAAAGAATATGACGCAACGGATAGCAGCCCTTTTGAAAAGCGCGGTGGTCGTTAGCTATGGGTATCTCTGTAACTGATCGGGATATAAACCGCCGCCAACGCAAGATGGAAAATCCGGCGCAGAGAACAGCTACACTCATGTTCAAACAAGGAACGGGCTGCTTACCGACCAGGCCATACGCCTCTAAGCCGGAGTCTCTGTCCTCGTCCAGGTCCGAGGCCGGCGCGGGGAGCGACGAGACCTTGTTGGTCTTGTAGTCGATGCGGAAAGAGCTGGGCTCATTATTTCCAGAATGTCTCAATCCATTGCCGGAAGATTGAAGGATCAAGCCATCGACAGCGGCGATGATGACTAGCTTTCGCAGCAAGCCCGGCATGTCGCTTGAGCTTTCGCGGGGTTTGCGACGGTCGCGGTCAGTGGGGAAGCGCAAAGAGCTCCGAGGCAAGCGAAGCA